ATACAACTGCTGCTTACCAAAATCGTCTTGTGATGTAAAAATCTTTGAGATTACAATACACAACACAACATAAGAATAACATTAACAATGGTTAATCACAGTAATATAATATGAAAAGTAAATGAATGTTGATTACATTAAGAAATGAATACATAAAGGTGATGTACATTAAAGAAATAAAGATTAATGTGAATGAAGACGTCTGAAACTGTCATCCAGGTGTTGTGCCAAAGTGTTTTAATCCTGAAAAATCAAGGAAAACAATTAGTGTGTATTAACTGAACACTGCATCCTGTTGCACAAATGGTAAGTACAAATATCCCGTTGTTCATTCCTTGGTTGGTAGATGCACCGGGGTCCTGATTATAGCACTTAAAAGTCAGATTTTCATGATATGTCACCTTTAAGTCAGTTCTGATAGTGAATTGGGTGCTAAAACAACAGATTGTGTGTGCAAATAAACAACGCTATCAGCGAGTGTCTTCATTTTGATTTTTATTCTTATACTTTTTGCCCATTGGAGTTGTGGGGCATTTTCATAACGTTTGAATTAGTGTATATTCCTGGGTTAAGGGCACTACGCAAACAGGAGGCAAAATGACAGCAGGGATGAGCATATGGAGGCAATCTCTTCCAAGCCTGGAGAGGAATCTAAATATAATCATATTGTTATCATTCCATTTGGATCATTCAAAGCAGATTCTAATTAGATTTTCGCTTGAAAATTTTTTTTCCATGCCTTTTCTTCTTTGTTGGTGGTTAGAGAGACATTTTACAAACAAATATTTTGATGAGATGATGGTAGTTCCATTTAGCTCCAGTATTAATCAGACCTTTTGACACCCTGAAGCACTGTTTGTATCTGTAACACATTGAGACCTCTCATCTACAGTCTCAGCTGCAGGGCAAAGTTCAGACTTAGGTCATTCAAAGGTTACCATTCACTCAAAACAGGGACGCTGAGTTGACGCTAACTCAAAACATCTGCTTCTTTCAAAGAAAGAGACTCCTCTCTTTTATTTGACGCTGTTTATTTCTCTGCTGAATGTAGCTGTGACCTTTTGTCAAACTTTTTATTTCCTGCTTCATGAGCCAGAGTCTTATCCATACCAGTCACACAACATTATGCATATCACTTACATCTCTATCACTCTTATAGGGGATAAAACAACATAGAGTCACAGTGGCTGTCATGTAAGTGGTAAGACAGCTTCTGCAAAGTACATAAATGTACATGACAGTGAGAATATTTTAAGAGTAAACAGAGGTTTTATGTATTTCTGTGGTCAGTGGTTGAGGTTGTAGCATGTCTTATTTTTCAGCAAAAGAGCAAAAGATTAAAAACAAAGCTACAACAGTTGACAACAGCTTCTTCATAAATTTAAACGAACAAAAATGTATTAAAGCATGACGTGTTAGTGCCATACCTTTTCAGTTAAATGTAATAGCATTCTATATGTAATAGCAAATGTAATAGCATCTCCGGCAGCCATATCGCCCTGTAGCCCAAAACTGGTTGCCCACTGAAGCTAAGCAGGGCTGAGCCTGGTCAGTACCTGGATGGGAGACCTCCTGGGAAAACTAGGTTGCTGCTGGAAGAGGTGTTAGTGAGGCCAGCAGGGGGTGCTCACCCTGTGGTCTGTGTGGGTCCTAACGCCCCAGTATTGTGACGGGGACACTATACTGTCAACAAGCACCGTCCTTCGGATGAGACGTTAAACCGAGGTCCTGACTCTCTGTGGTCATTAAAAATCCCAGGATGTCTTTCGAAAAGAGTAGAGGTGTGACCTCGGCATCCTGGCCAAATTTGCCCATTGGCCTCTGATCATCATGGCCTCCTAACAATCCCCATATCTGCTAATTGGCTTCATCACTCTGTCTCCTCTCCACCAATAAGCTGGTGTGTGGTGTGTGGTGGGCGTTATAGTTTGTATAGTTTGTTTACATAATATATGTGTGTACTATATATATAAATACACACACATACATGTATATATTTAAGATATATTTACATGTATATATATATATTCATATATCATATAAATATAAATATATATTGTATATATTTCCTAAATATATACGTGTG